CCCCTCCGCGCAAAAAGGCACAGTGTCCCCCGAGCCTGAACGTCAAATGGACGTATTTCTGCCAAACGGAACTATGAGCATTACACTGAAAAACAAAAAAAAAATACTCATGATTCAATCAGATTTAAGCTTAAATCAAGAACCAAGCCTCTTAATTTGAGCGGATTTCCTTTCGATTTAAGCTTAGATCTGATTGAGTCAAGAGTCCTTTTTCTTGTCAATGTTTTCAAGAGTCTCGACTCTGGATCCAATGTGTTTTTTTTTTTTTTTTTTTTTTTTTTTTTTTTTTATTTTTTTCCAGTGTGTCCTGTGAGGTCATACGTCCACTTAAACTTCATATGTTCGTGGTTGGCACAATGGAGATGTTGCATGTGTGAGGGATTTGCGATTTGACTGCTGTTTCTTATGTAAAAGTTCGCGAGAAACACGATGGTGCCACTGGTTTTCTCTGAAATCATATCCCAAGCTCAAAAAAAGCTCGCAAAGTGAGGCCAAAATGGAGGGGATATCCCGCCCTACCCTGAGAGTCCACCTCTCCATCAAAACAAACTCTTCATGCAAAGATAGGGAGCAAACACATTAGCAGGGATGCCGTGTTTTCAGTTTTGGATTCCCCAAATAATGTGGCAGCCCTGTCAATGTATTTGTTCCCTATCTATGCATGGAGAGTTTGTCTTGATGTAGAGGTGGACTCTCAGGGTAGGGTGGGATATCCCCTCTATTTTAGCCTCACTTTGAGAGCTTTTTTTGAGCTTGGGAGTTGATTTCAGAGAAAACCAGTGTCACCATCGTGTTTCTCGCGAACTTTTACATAAGTATCAACAGTCAAATCGCTAATCCCTCACACCTGCGACATCTCCATTTGAGCGGATTTCCTTTCGATTTAAGCTTAAAACTGATTGAATCAAGAGTCCTTTTTCTTGTCAATGTTTTCAAGAGTCTAGACTCTAGATCCAATGTGATTTTTTTTTTCTAGTGTGTCCCGTGAGGTCATACGTCCACTTAAACTTCATATGTTCGTGGTTGGCACAATTGGCACATGATGTATTTATATTACAAATCAGGCAATGATTGGCAACACTGTCCGAATTTACGAACAATGCAAAGAAACAATCTCAGTAAAGAAGTACCTCCGAGCTTGTGTTTACTAACTCGAGCTGCATATGCCGCGCGCAGATCCAACACACTCAGACGAAAAAGACTGAGTTGAGCTGAAAGATTCTTATATACATTTTTATGCATGTTTCTCCCTATCGATTGGCTTTTGGACCTGGGTTTTCGACCTTACTGGACAGTAAAAATGTGACGAAAAAACGCAGGACAAACGAGAGCGTAGGACTACATATTTATGGAACGAATTTCACTTGGAAAAGATTTCGAGGACGGAAATCCGTGGGACGAAAAATTTCATGGACATAAAAATTGGACCAAAAGTCCTTAAACTGTACCTGAATAAGCAGATCGATCGTTGTCAATCCGGTCGAAAACTCGGATTTTGAGATTTTTGACGAAAATATCATTTCATATACGAGAAAATATGTATGTTTCGTTCATATGTGTGCCAAAGGAAGCCGTAAACTTGCTATCATTCTATGCTATGGACTGACTTTTGCCATTAGGAACTATTCTTTCTAACTCGTGTAAGAAACATCATAAGTGCCGTGAATTTCCCTGGATGCACGTACGTGTTTATACGGATGAGCCAGAAATGTTAGTTCCGAAATGCAAAATGTAGTCCATTTCATAACCCGAAAGTAGCATATTAAAGCTATATAGATGTTTTCTCAAAACTTCGTTTTTTTAACTGCAAACTACGAACCGCTGCTATAGTTCCGGTTTGGTTATCACTTATTTGGACTACCTAAATTTTTCATTAGAGACTAGTGTTTCTGACTCATCCATAAAAACACCTATCTGTATGAGAAAACAAATGGACCGCGTTAAACAGAAAGGAACCAAGCCACATCAGCTATTGCCAAATTTAATCGGGCAATTGAATTTTTTACATGAAAATGGTTGTGCGGATTTTTGTGCAGATTTCAGTGAATTTTCTCCATGATACAAAGCAAATTCCTTAACATTTTTAAAGGAATCTACGCAGACGTTCTCTCGTAAAAAACGAAATCCCCCTGTTAAATTTGGCAATAGCTGATGTGGCTTGGTTCCTTTCTGTTTAACGCGGTCCAAATGGCACATACATATGCATCGTTTCAAGAATTAACCGGAAATAATAGTTCCTTAATGCAAAATGTAGTCAAATTGGCATTTTTGCGCAAAATATCTGTAGGCAGATCCTCAATGTACACTGGTATCAATCACTCAAGTATAAGCTCATGTGGACTAACAGTAAGTTAACACGTTTTGTATGCACATAACATAAAAGGGAGTCCAAGCCTCGGACATGGCGGGGACCAGTGGCGTGGCGTGAATTGCAAGGTATCGATTGTTATGCCATTTAAATGTATGGAAAAAGATCGATAAACAGGGTGTTCGCAGCGAACACCATTAATAACCCATCGACCATGGGTTTAAATGCTATAACATCGATACCTCGCAATTCACGCCACGCCACTGGCGGGGACTCGGGGATTGCTCCTTAAAATTTTCAAGTACCCTTATTAAGGCATGTTTTGACTGCAGATTTGGCTTCGACGCAAAAAGGGGTGCGAGAAATCCTAAACTGTAGAACTTAGTACCAAGAGAGACAAAAAAAATACCTTTTGAAAAATCAAAAATACTTAATGGATTTAAATGGACTTTTTACGAATCCTTTGTCCTTTGTCGGTATCAAGTCGTGCAATACATGATTTAACTACTATTGTTATTTTTGCTTTAGTTTTAAATGGAATATCTTCGACTTAGTTCCACAAAAACTGAGAGCTTAAAAAACATATGCATAAAAACGGATTCGTATTCTGATATTCAAAAAGCCATAAGCCTATGGTGGTCTGAAAAATCTTATCTGCTAGGAATCTCGTCTGTCTCATTCATGACCGCAACCTATCATTGTAAAGGACCTTTACAGGGTATTTCTGGTGCCGAACATCACGTGTGATAATTAATCAATGTGGTTCTCTGAAGCCACGCACGGTTTACGGAGGACGGATAAGGATGCTAAAACGCCTTCAACTATAGGGGTATGTGACCCGCGTGCCATCTGAACGCGTCTCCGGCACCGGCCTTCAGCTCATACAAGGAATGCAATTGCATTCCTTGTATTTAAACATTCCTTAAACTGGGCCGTTACTGGGATAATTTTCCAGACCGATACGCGTGGGAAGAACTACTTGAGTCTTTGAATATTTGGGGTGTCAAAAAATTGAAACATGCTGAAATTTTCTACGTGTCATTCGAATACGATTACATACCTTATCAGCGGTCCATACGTTCATGACACACAAGTTAGGACGCAGGAAAATCTGAAAAAGAAGAAAAAAAGAAATATAATGGTTATTGTGATGTACCTATCAAGAGGATTAGAGCTTTAAACTGCGGCAAAGACAGGACGTCACGCAGTTTAGGGCTGGAGGAACATGAGTTAGTGAGTAAGTTAGTTCAGTTATTGAATTTGATGTATATATAAGTGATTAAGTAGTATAATATGGGAGCCATCCAGTCAAGAGAACTTTTCAAATTTTAACAAGCAATTGAAATTGGAATTTGAAAAGTTCTCTTAACGGGATGTCTCCCATACTGAACATACTTAGGTAACAGTCATTTTTTCACTTTTTCAGTAATTAACACTGGAAAAAACACATTGTATCTAGAGTCCAGACTCTTAAAAACATCGACAAGAAAAAGTACTCTTGATTCAATCAGAATCTAGCTTATATAAAGAACCAAGCCTCTTAATTTAAGCGGATTTCGATTTGATTCAAGCAAAAATCCGAATGAATCAAGAGTATTTTCTCTTGTCAATGTTTTCAAGAGTCTGGACTCTAGATCCAATGTGTGGTTTTTTTTTTGTTTTTTTGTTTTTTCCAGTGAAGTATACTAACGTTCCTACTTCAAAAATACAAATACAACTTCAGGACGGTGCAGATGCGCAAGGGGAGAAAATAAAGAATTTATCGACAGGAGAGAAGCTATCTCAGAGACTTGACAATGGGTCAGTTGCGCAGGTAACAGACGCGTGTTTTGATGCTTGCTTCTTGTAGATTAGCTATAAATAAGATCTGTCCGAAGAGAAACTTTCTGCGTTCAATATTAACCGAGATACCGTCCTTGAAAAACTCAATTTATGACATCATCCACCGTGGTAGTACATACCATGTTATGCACTACCGCAGTAGGTGACATAAAAAACCCGACTTACCAAAGGACGATATCTCGGTTAATATTGAACGTAGAAAGTTTCTGTTTGGACAGTTCTTATTTTTAGGTAATCTACAAGAATCGAGCATCAAAACACGATTATGTTACCTGCGCAACTGGCCTATAAAAAGGTAAAAAATTACAACAAATTCTTAACAAATGGTAATTTTTTCATCTCAATGTCGCGGCGAATACGGGAATTTTTATATCGATGCGAGCTGAGTATTCATGAACGTCGGTGACCGCAGAACAGCGAAAACCTGTGATTCTCCTTCAATTTCGAATGATACCACATACCTACTCCGAAGTTCGAATTGTTGCTCCCTTGATTCCCGCGCGAGAAAAAATAGAAAATGACGCGAGTATCATCTGGAAATCGAGCGAGGTGCGCGAAATTTCTAGCGAAACCGTTGACGCAAATTCAATTACTCGCTTTGCATTTTAGAGTCTGTGGAAATGCGCGGCTTTCCGACCATTTTTCCAACCATATTGTAAAATTTGTCGCGTTTTCACTTAGATAACGCGGCAAACCCGTGAATTTCCCAGCGGATGGTTACGTGAAAAAAAGTAAGACGATTTTCACCTCAATACCGTCGAGCATACGGGATTTGCGTATCGACGCAAGCAAATTATTCATAAACGTTAGTACCTTCGGATCGGCGAAAACCTACGATAATCCTTCATTTCTGCGTGATACCACATCAAGTATCTCCGTCAGAACCCGAAAAGTTGCCCGCTTGCGATTATAATATCTGCATTCATTAACGTCAGCGATTCGAGACAGCCGAAAAGCTAACATTTTCCTACAAACCGGCACGATACAACGAATCATACCAAAGCCGGAGTTCAAGTAAAGTTGCGCGCTTGATTTCGGAAATTAAGAATGAGAGCACCATGCCTACATTTATAACTTTAGTAATTTGAGACGGGTGAAAAGCTAAGATTTTCCTTCGAAGTGGCGTGATACTACGTCCGATACCAACGCTGCAATTTCAGTATTCAAGCCCTGGATTTTAACAGTTAACGATGGGAGCCCTCACGCCTTCATTTTAATTTTAAGTAATTTGAGAAAGGCAAAAAGCTCTTCCTTCATTTTCGCATTACGTACCTACTCCGGAGTTTGAATAGTCGCGCGCTAAATCTCGGTATTGAACGATGCAACCATTATTAAATTCTTAACTTCATTAATTTAAAACACGCGAAAAGCAAAGATTTTCTTCGAAGCGACGTGATATATCGACGGTGAAACTACCAAACCACGTATCTCGTTTGCGGTGTTTAAAAATCTACGCTCACATTTTATTTTTTTTGAAGTAGACCAAATCAATATCATTCCTTGAAATTTTCACGGAATTTTCTCCGCACAAAGAGGAAAAATCACAGAAATTTTCAAGACTGGATGTTAAGTAGTTCTTCATTTAAAAAATAAAGTATGACAGGAAGTCTGCGACGTCGCAAACCGAGATACGTGGTTTGGTAGTTTCACCGTCGATATCACATAACAATGACGCGGTTCCAATTTTCACGCGCCTGATTTCAGAATGGACCATTAGACAAGGTATTAATTTAAACTTTCTGATGCATGTTTCTTGGCCAGAAATGTAGGTAAAACACGATTCTTGCGTTTTAAATTACTGAATTCAAGTCCTAACTTAGATATTTAAATTTTTATTTTACATTGGTAACGAGGGATTTTAATTGCCCGGTCACAAGAAACGTAATACTCTGCTCGAGTTAAATCTCGCCTTACAACGGTTTAGGGCAGTCTTCTCAATCGACCCTTGTTCCTTATATCCTCCCATCATTGTTTAAAGTGTGACCAATTTGACATAGCTAAGCCAAAGCGTCAAGATTGAGGTTGCCGTATTGTAGTATCACGAAGACTGGCACAGTAACTAGTGGCGTTCGATTTGACTAAGGTAGACGCGTTTTCATGAGCTTGAGGTTTGAATCCATGCGTCAAGAAACATTAATTATCTTGGTTAGGAGTTATTGCAGTTATTTTCGTTGCGTGAATCGTATTTTACATGAAATTTTAGTACACAAACATGTATCAAAATACTCAAACTCACACATTGTCTTGTGGTCCATTACACGATGTGAGTATACTGCCTACATTCAAAAACGTCAGTAATTTATTTAAGGCAGGTGAAAAGCCAAGATTTGCTTTCAAAGCGGCGTGATGCTATGAGCTATATGTATAACATACCAACGGCTTAATTCCGATAGTTGCGCGCTCGATTTCAGAATTAAAGGATGTGAGCGTTATAATTTCAGTTATTCGAGACGAGTGAAAAAGCTAAGATTTTCCTTTAGAGCGGCGCGATTCACATCTTAGTTTCAGAATTTAACGTTGGGAGCATTATGCATACATTGATAAAGTCAGTAGTGTGTAAGATGTGACAAGTGGAACGCCAAAAATGTCCTTCATTTCCGCGCGATACCACATCACGTACTTACTCCGGAGTCCGAAAAGACGAGTTTCATTCAAAGCGCTGCGATACCACATCCTATACCAACTCCGCTCTCCAATATTTAAACGCTGGATTTCAGAATTTAACGTTGGGAGCATTGTTCCTACATTCATAAAGTCAGTAATGTGTGACAATGTAAGGCCAAAAATTTCCTTCATTTCCGCGCGATACCACATCACGTACTTACACCGGAGTCCGAAAAGACGAGTTTCCTTCAAAGCGCTGCGATACCACATCCTATACCAACTCCGCTCTCCCAATATTTAAACGCTGGATTTCAGAATTTAACGTTGGGAGCATTGTGCCTACATTCATAAAGTCAGTAATGTGTCACAATGTAAGGCCAATAATTCCCTACATTTCCGCGCGATACCACTTCACCTACTATAGTGATCACCTACTCCGGAGTTCGAGAAGATGGGTATTCACTGAGGATGAAAAGTTACGAACGACAAAAATTTTAAGGAAAATCGTGTTTTTTACCGACTATCTCCATGAGAATAATAGTTTGGATGATATTAAACCTGAAACTTTACCTACTTCATCGACGACCGTCGTAACAATGATTAAATGCATTTTTGTTTCACCAGTACAACTCCTTTCCGCGCCTACCGTATCATGCGGAGTTTAAGAATGATAACAATGGGCCAGTCGCCCTAGTCACAGAATCGCATGCTGATTATTTAAGCTCATAGATTAGCAAAAACTAAACTACGTTAACATCTTTTCGAACATCATGTTTCTACGTTCATTATAGATATTGCCCATCGGAAAATACGGTGTATAACGTCATACACCGCGTTGGTGCATATCATGGGTTCTTTCCCTTTAATTTCATCAATCAGTGATTTACATACACATTTGCACTATGGTTACTGTTTTTTTTTCCTCTCGCTATTTATTTAGCTCCTATTCTTTTAGGACAGCATGCACTTCCGCGGTGGATGATGTTAGACACCATGTTTTTTGATGGGCGATATTTCTGTTAATACTGAACGTGAAAAATTGGCGATTGGACACACTTTGTCCATTCAATGAATGATAAATGAGCTTACACCATCAACTTACGATTCTGTCTAGCGTAACTGACTCATGTATGCTGCAAAATTGTCAACTGCAGCGGGATAGAGGATACAATTTAATGACAAGAAAGGATGAACTGTTAGATACGTACCAGAGGAGAGTTATCCAATTGCCCGACGCCAAGCTGTAAGCACTCACGACACCACACTTTCACTGGAATCGCACTGCGCACTAACAAAATTGACCACGAAAAGGTCGTTAGGATAGAAATAGTTTAAAAAAATTACAGATTCACCAGGAAATGAATCATGTGTGCTTAAACTTACTTCAATTCTGCTCAGATAAGGCGTTTACAATAATACATGACATAAAAACAAGATGGGAAAAATCATGAAAATAAAATGATGATAATGATAATAAAAGGCGTATCTTGAAACCAGAATGATACAACCAAGAGATAATTTACTTGTGGATAATCAAAAACCGAAAAACGGGAAGAAGAAACCGAACATACTTAATGCAAGTTCTTCCAAATCCACTGTATTAAAGTACAGGTGCAGAATAGTGCAGATGTAATAATATCCAATAATTATTTTTGTTCTGATTGATTTGTTTGCCTTATAAGTCCCAAGAAATTAGCGTATGCTTCGTTTTTGTACACCTGGTAGAACATAAATTGAAAAGTGTAACGTTAAACCAGTATCGTGGATGCAAGTCATGAGTCACATCAGCGCTTATAATTTATCATTCGACTTGGGAACATTAATACCTAAGAGAGTTGAATTTTACTTCAATGACGAACTCTCGTTAGATTTTGATTACGCAGCGAAAATCTTGGATTACAAGAGAGGAAACCTACCAACAATATTGGCTGCCTAGTTCGTTGTTTGAACTTCAAACTTACTGAGGCAATGAAGACTGAGGATTCGACAACTATTTCAAGGAATACTACAAAAAGCAAGATTTTTTCCAAAAAGGGCGGGGTGGAAAAAAGGAGTGAGAGGGGAACTGGTTTCGTCGGGACACACTGAAAATTGCCGTCACTGTAGGCATATTTTCTTAAATCTAAAATTCGATGACTTTAAGACGGAAGTTTTGATTTTCGTCCATAGAGCTTGCAAGTGCGGTGCGGACAGTGATTTTTACCTTTCTCGATCGCAAGAAATAATTTCGAAGTTCCGCAGCGAAAATCACTGACTTTTCATTGTTGGGTGAATTTCCCTGACTTTCCCAGGTTTTCAACGACGCGACGTATCAAGAACTATTCACCCTGGGATCTACATCATTATCAGGGCTGCCGATGCTCCTACGTTTCGCGAATTCATCACCCACCGCTACGCACCGTTATAAATTTTACTCACTTGTTACTAACGGTTATAAATATTACTCACTTGCTACTCACCGTTATTTTTACTCACTTGCTACTCACCGTTATTTTTACTCACTTGCTACTCACCGTTGTAAACATTAATCACTTGCTACTCCCCGCTATAAATTTTGCTCACTACTCACCGTTCTCCATTTAACTCACTTGCTACTCACAGTTATAGATTTTAATCACTTGCTACTCACCGCTATAAATTTTGCTCACTTGCTACTCACCGTTCTCGTTTTTCTCACTATGACTACGATTCATCATTCTCGATTTTACTAGCTTACCACTCACAGTTTCTCGATTTTATTCTCTTTTTTACTCACTGTGTCTCAATTTTACTACCTCATTTCTCTCTGTTCTCGATTTTACTCACTCTTTACTAGCCATTCCTCGCTTTTACTCACAGTTTACTCGCCGATCCTCGATTTTACTCACATTTCACTCACACATCGCACGAGTTATGAATTCTTTTAGGATCGATCATCACTCCATCGATCAATCATCACACCGTGAGCAACTATAATGGAGAATTACTCTTTAATTATTCACCTAGATCATTGGATTACGCACGAACTGCTGAAATTATGCTCATTTAACTCACAGATGCTTAAATTACTTTGAATCGGCAGCCCCGATTTGCTTAATAACTAAGAAGAGTGTGAATAAAACAATCTACGGATTGAAAATTCTTTGGTACCCTGAAAACAGAATTGCGATCGCAAATTCGAGGAAAATGACGAGTAGCTAAAGAAATGGAACCAATCGATGCGATATATCGCATGTCGTTCTGGCACAAAATATGGCGTTCAATATTTGCCATTCTTTACCTTTCCTCTTCACTTTCCCTACTAATGGCAATTGACATCCCACAAAATTAAATCATTCTTGACTTTGTTTCTTTCTTTTCCTGTTCTGTTCTGTTCTTTTCTTATCTTATGTTTAGTGTTTTAACTATTTTTTAAAAAAAATCCTTTGAATTGACTAATTAATTAAATAAAGTTCTTGCATGTATCAGATTTAAGTACTTTTCTCACTTCAACTAACAAACGAAAAAATTAGATACTTTGATGAACTAAAGGAGAAAGTATAGAAAACAATATTATTGAGGAATGTAGAAACACCCGAGGAATGAAGCTCTTGCATGCGTCAGGGATTTGAGATTTAAATACTTATTCCTCAGTAAAATTTCGCTAGAAACACGATGGTGCCACTGGTTTCCTCTAAAATCTATTCCCAAGCTCAAAAAAAGCTCTCAAAGTTGAGGCCGTAATGGAGGGGATGTCCAACACTGCCTTCAGAGTCTACCTTTATATCCAGTTAAATTTTCCATGCAAAGATAGGGAGCAAATACATTAGCAGGTTTGCCACTTTGTTTGGAGACTCCGAAGTTGGAACTACGGCAATCCTGCTAATGTATTTCCCTATCTTTGCATGGAAAATATTACTAGGTGTAGAATTAGTGGACTCTCAACGTTGCGTGGGATATCCTCTCCATTACAAACTGGACTCGGAGAGCATTTTAGAGCTTCGGAATTGATTTCAGAGAAAACCAATGGCAACATCGTGTTTTTCACGAAATTTTACGGATGAGAAAGTTGAAGTACTTGAAACGCAAATCCGTGACACTTGCAAAAACTCTACCGTGTTGGTTTTTTTTTTTTTTTTTTTTTTTTTTTTTTTTTTTTAATTTATATTTAATTTTTATTTTAATCTTGAGTGGGTGAATGTTGATCCCTTCTTCGTGAATGTTGCCTCAGAAGAGGGATGGAGAACCGGAACTGAGAGTGAGTTCGCGTGGTTTGTAGGACTTCAATCAATTCCGCATACAAATCAGTCAATCTCGCATACAAATCAGTCAATCCCGCATGCAAATCAGTCAATCAGCATACATCTCAGTCAATCCCGCATGCAAATCAGTCAATCAGCGTACAAATCAGTCAGTCAGTCCAACAGTCAAAAAGAATATAAGGAGTGGAAGGAGAGGAAGGAGAGGAAGGAGAGGAAGGAGAGGAGGGAGAGGAAGGAGAGGAAGGAAAGGAGGGAGGGAGAGAAAGAAAGAAAGAAAGAAAGAAATAGAGGAAGGGAGGGCTGGTAACCATGCCCAGCCTGGGCATCGGGAGCCAATCCCGAGGTCACCGACCAAGGGTAAAAGGACACCTTCATGGTGCCCGCAACCATCCACCGGGGCAGACGTGCGGCCGGGGCGGTGTCTGCAGATCGCTCCTCTAGTGCCTCCAGACGGTACAAGACGTCCGCCGACCGGATGGACGACCGCGCGCCGGGCGCTCCGACGAGTGCTCGGTCGGACGACAGAGCCTCCAACTCAACTTCACTTTCAGACCGAGGCTAAAGGCCTCAGCCTAAAAGTGAAGCTGATACGGAAGCACTATCATCACGGTAGAGCAGTCGACGGAGCGTCCAGCGGGTGTCCACCCGCTCGTCGGACATCAACGACGTTCGCCGACCGGGCGGACGACCGCGCGCCGGGCGCTCCGACGAGTGCTCGGTCGGACGACAGAGCCTCCGACTCAACTCCACTTTCAGACCGAGGCTAAAGGCCTCAGCCTGAAAGTGAAGCTGATACGGAAGCACTGTCATCACGGTAGAGCAGTCGACGGAGCGTCCAGCGGGTGTCCACCCGATCGTCGGACGTCGGACCGTAAGGTGGCACTATGACCGGAACTGACGGCGGTCGTCGTCGTTGTGCGTCACGGCTGTGAAGTGCACGTCGCGGCTCATACGGAACTTCCGGGACCTCTTTAGGCTCGGGTCAAACTCACAGTGTGGAGCCCGGTTTCCACCATCAAATTGAGCCCATCAAAGTTGATCATCAGTAGAACTGTGGGCTTAATTTGATCGCAGAAACCGGGCTCCACGCTGTGAGTTCGACCCGAGCGCATACGCCGATTGCACATGTCCCAAATGTGGAGAGACACGACGAGTCTAGCTCATCGTCTCGGCTCCAATTTGGGATGTGTGTAATCGGCTCTTCTAACCTCTGCACCCTCCCTTTAAAAGGCACTCACCCTCGAGATTTTCTTCAAGTTGATAATCAAGTGCTGAAATACGATTTTAATTTTATACTCTTCTTTCAAGTTACTTAAAATTAACGTTCGATTATGATTAGACTCAATAATATTCCAATTGCAGAGGTGTGAGTGACCGAAGTTGCTAAGGCACCTCTTTAAAATAAAAATGCACTACTACTACTACTACTACTACTATAACTACTACTGCATAAGATATACATAGGAAGATAGGAGAACAGTCGGTAGTGATGTCATGAATCGTTGTTTCAGGCACGTATGTTTGCATTACGTCAGTCAAATGTATGTTTTTGCTTCTGTGTACACTGTTTCCGTACGAAGAGAGCGCATACGAGTACTTACTTCTTTCAGATGCATTAGCTAAGGAAGTTGTTTAAAATGTTTTTGTTAGAAAAATATTAAGGAGAGAGAAAAGAAAACCCGTAAATTTTATAAAATTGCACGGCTAGTTGCAAAAATTAAGTTAAAAATCTAAATTAATGTGAATACTGATGATCTGAAAACGTCCTCTCAAATAGCTCGAGCGAAAAATTGCGTTGGTTTTTTTATCGGGAGCTTCAATAATAATTTTATCCATTTCACGAATCAAGAGTAACATTTTTGAACGGTTTTATTCCCTGGAATTACAAATCATGGGGAAGGGTATAAATACGATTCGAAAAGATAACTATGATAAAAATAAAACTGAAATATTGAATGAGAGATCAGCATCATAGCTACTTGAACTTTCACAACGACATGAAAAAATGAGGTATTTTAGTACTACGGGGGAAGGGGTACTGAGAGGACTAGGAGCCCCCTCTCCCCAG